CTCCTCCTCCTCCTCCTCCTCCGACGTCGCCGACGCATCGCCGATACATCGGCGATGCATCGCCGATGCATCGGCGACGTCGGCGTGAAGAAAATTGGACACCGCATCGAGCCGCATCGCTGATGCGTCGCAGATGCATCGGCGATGCGGCGAGATACTCCGACCCCATCTACTCCGACCACCTCTAGGAGGCCTAGAGAGAGGGGACGCGCCTGCTCACAAGGCTCGGAAGTCCCCCGGCCTTCTCGTAAGGCTGAGAAGTTGTCGGAGCCTTCCCCGAGGACACAGAGCATTTCTCGGGAGGCCCGAGGGCTTCTGAGAAGTCTCGCCGGCTCCTGACAAGGCCTTCTTCTTCTTCTCGCTTCCCCCCTCGGTCGCCGCCGATGTCTGATCTTGCATTGAGTCGGGCCTGTCCCCCTACAGGGGGATTTTCGACGAAAAGTACAAAATAACCCAAACATAATCAAACAATAATCGCAACATCGTATGCGGACTATGTTTTGAATATGGTTTGGCCTTTTTTGGTGCATTTCTGGAGTATGTGTTATTTTTCGTCGAAAGTCCCCCTGTAGGGGGACACGCCCGACATAAATCTTGCAGATCTGGGCGCGCCCCGATCTACGGGGCCCCACGTTCCTTGCTGTGTTGTCGTTGGTGGTGGTAGTGTTGAGACTGTGGTTGTTGTTGTCGTGGTGGTGGTGTTTGTTGGTGTTGTGGTTGCTGTTGGTGCTGTTGTGGTTGTTGATGGTGCTGTTGTTGGTCTTGTTGGTGGTGTTGTTGTGGCTGCTGCTGCTGCTGCGGTCGTTGCTGCTGCTGTTGTTGTGGTTGTGGTTGGTGTTGTTGCTGTTGTTGTTGTTGTTGTTGTTGTTATTGTTGTTGTTGGCTGTTGCTGTTGTTGTGTTTGTTGTAGTGATAGTTGTTTAATGTTGTTGTTGTTGTTGCTATTGTTTTTTGTTGTTGCTGTCGTTGTTGGTGTCGTTGGTGTTGATGCTGTTTTTGTGGTTGTTGTTGGTGGTGTTGCTAATATTCTTGGTGGTGGCATCTCGTTCTCGTCTGCGCAGCTTTCGTCGCCGGCCAGGAGCCCACAAAAGGGGCTTGGTGGGGGCTCCTCGGCAACACCGGGAGACCCAGACCCCCTCGCGCAACGAAAAAAACACGACGGCCAAGAGGCCCCCAGGAGACCCCATAAGGCCCCCAAGAGGCCCCAAGGGGCCCCCAAGAGGCACCCCAAGAAGCCCTTCAAGAGGCTCCCAAGGGCCCAAGAGGCCCCAACACGGCCCCCAAGGGGCCTCCAAACTGCCTCCCAGAGGCCCACTAAGAGGCCCCAACACGGCCCCCAAGCGGCGAGGCAATCTGGGCCAGCGGAGTGAGCGAAACAATACAAAAAATCACGACGGACGGGTTTTCGTCATTTTCGCCCTCTGGGGCACCTCGCCGGGCCTCGCGACCGCCAACACACAGCTCGGGAAGAAAAACCTGTCCTGGGAGAATGAGTCGAGGCCTCGGGGAGTCGACGTAATGGACAAACCATGTCGTCGGGGGGCTCCGGAAGAGGCTCTGGGGCTCTTCGGCACCATCGGGAGATGAGACATTATCGTGGGGCACCCCCGTCCGAACCGAAGCGGCCGAACCGGACTGGTCTGCCACGCGAGCCGAAACGGTCGAACCGAACCGGTCTGCGACGCGGAGCGAGGTGGACGAGCCGAACCAGGCGCACATCGAACCGAACCGAACCGAATCGAACCGCGGCTTTCATGGGATATCTCGAGTCCTATCCGAGGCTCTGGGATGCTTCCAACTGGACCAAAATTTTAGGGCCCAGCCCTAGGATCTACGATGGGAGGGCGTCGGTCCTCGAAAGGAGAGCGTCCGAATAGACACCTTGGGGTGTATCCCAGGGTTCCCCCCGTTGTCTGAGAGGCAATTTTTTTCGGGCGGAGCGCGGGAATTGAGGGGAGAAAATGCGCCTGCAGATTCTTATTCCCTGCGCCTGCGGCAGGGAGTTTCTCAGAACCCCCCTCAGCTTCTTGGAGGCTCTAACCCGAGATTCGACGCCGCGACAAACTTGCAGCATCGCAGAACATCACGACTGGAGCCCCCTGCCCCATCCTTCTGCTGCATTTTCCGAGCCGGGCCAATCCCACCATCCCTCTGGGCGTGAGCTCGCTCTGGTAACTCTCGTCTCCCCCGTCGAGGAGGGGAGCCCCCCTCCACCGATCCCATACCCCCTTACGGAGGAGGAGGAGGAGGAGGAGGAGGAGGAGGAGGAGGAGGAGGAGGAGGAGGAGGAGGAGTGGAGGAGGAGGAGGAGGCGGAGGAGGAGGAGGAGGAGGAGGAGGCGGAGGCGGAGGAGGCAGGAGTCAGGAGGCAGGAGCTTACCGACTCCCCCCGGGTCTGGGCCCTTCACCCTCCACCGCCCCTCCAGAACCCCCCCCTTGCGGAGCACCTGTGCGCCGCCTGCTTGCTCCGGACTCCTCCTCTGTCTCCTCCTCCTCCGCCTCCGCCTCCCCCTTTTCCTCGTCATCCATCGCCATCCTCTCTCCTCCTGCGCTTCCTCCTTCTCCTTCTCCTCGGGGAAAATCCGCGAAAGCGGATGTGGTCCACTACCGAGTTGCACGCTGCCAGTCATCACCGAGGCAACTCGTCTGGCCCTTGTTTCTGGAGATACGCGCGAGCGTCAAAGAATGGCCACGCCTGGATCTCAGAGAAGGCGGCTGCTGCCTTCCAAAAAAAAGAACGCCTTCTTAGACGCCGCTCCAGGGGAAATCAAAACATCCCGAGACCGCCACTCTCAGGTCGGGCATGTCCTCCTACAGACGGTTTTCTGACTACTTTTGACTAGTTTTGATTACTCTCCTCCTGCAGAGAGACACGCCCGACTTAACGCTACTCCCCAGACCTCTCCCCAGTGTGCGTTCCGACTCGGATTTCGAGGGGCGTGTCCAGCAGCGGCGACGAGGGCCTCCACGAGGACCCCCAAAGAGGCGAACACGAGGCATTAGAAATTTGTAGCGCTCCGCGCGGATTTCTTGGATCCGCGCTGGATCCCCTTCTCTGGCGCGCGGAGCGCGCCAGGGGCGACGCAGGAGGCGCCGCCAGGGGGGCCCGGCGCAGATCCAAGGAATCCGCGCGGAGCGCCAACAGTTTATCTTTACAGCGTTCTGTCTTCTTCGAGGCATGGGTAGCGGTATCGGCATAGTAGAAGCCCGACCACAAGAAACCTTCCATCAGAAACCCAGCCTTGAGGCACCATGACGTCCACTGATCTTTAGTGTGGGAACGTCGCGCCCTCCAGAGCAAAACCATCGAACCCCAAGAGATCCAGGGCACCCTGGAGGCAAGCAGAGTGTTGCTTGGCATGGGCCTCCACCGTACCTCTCCCTCGCCCAACCAACCCTCTGTCCCCCTACCGGCAGATATTGGGCGACAAATCTCAAATATCAAAACATATGCAAACGTTGTCGATGAATAATAGGAACATCGTCCCCTGACTATGTCTTGACTGCTTCTTGATTTTCCTCCTGTATAGAGGGACACGCCCGACTGAAGGGCAGCGGTATCGGTACCTTTCCCTCCCCCGAACTCGGCTACACGCAAGAGTGACCCTGGGTAAGAGTGACCTTTGGTGCGCGGCTTTTTGTGGGCCGCGGGGGGACCAAACCTGGGCGCGCAAGCCGCTGCTCCTGCTTCGTTTTCAGCCATCAGGGGACCCATCTGTGCCCGCACCAAAGGTCACTCTGGCGAAAGGTCACTCTTACGTCTTGTCGACGAACACCCCTCGGTCCCCCCATCCCCCTTGCCGGTGCGCGCCGCCAGCCTGCCGCCCGCCAGCTCGAGGCTCCGCACCTCCGCGTGGCATCCCGGACTCTCGGAGGAGCGCTGCTGAGCAGCTGGGGCCGGGAGGCCCGCGCGGCATCGCCGACACATCTCGGCGGCGAGCGAAGGGGGGAAGTGAGAAGGAGAAGGCCTCCTCGGAAGCTTCGGAAGTCCCCCGGCCTTCGGAGAAGTTATCTCGGCCTCCCCCGGAGACGATCGACAAGCTCTCGGGAGGCGCGAGGGCTCCTCGGAAGTCCCGCCGCCTTCTGAGAGGGCCTTCTCCTTCTCGTTTCCACTCTCCCACTCCCCGCCGAACATCGGCGATACATCGCCGATGCATCGGCGATGCACCGGCGCTGCATCGGCGATGCATCTGCAACGCCAGCGTGGACAAAATCGGGCTCCACATCGAGCCGCATCGCCGATGCATCGACGATACGGCGAGATCATCCGACCCCATCCACTTGGACCCAATCGAGCAGGCCGGCGACGCCAGCGTGGACAAAATCGGGCTCCACACCGCCTCGCCGATGCATCGACGATACGGCGAGATTCTCCGACCCCATATGCTTGGACCTCACTTGGGATGCCTAGACGCTCCCTGGACCTCTCTTTGGGGGTGCGCTCTGGCCAGCACTCAAAGGAGAATCGAGCCGCTGCGGCGAGGGACTCCCAGGAGGGCTTCCCAGGAAACGATCCTACCTCGACCCCATCTGTTCGGACCCCATCTAGGAGGCCTAGAAGGCTGCGGCGCTCCCCCCCCCGAACTTCCAGGCGCGGCTTTCTTGGAGGCGTCCGTTGGTTATCGGAGGCTCCCTCGCCTTAGCGTTCGACTCGGACTCTACGCGGATTCGACGCAGAGTCGATGCGGATAGGGGCGCGACGGGACAGACGATGATAAGCAATAAAAGGACCTCTAACCCTTTGGGACGGGGCCCAAGTTAGGAGAGCCACGAGCATTGGGGACAGGAGTTTATTTGCTTTTGCCTGCAGAGGTGTCGGACCAGACCGCCCAGACGCCATCCCGAAGGCGAGGACGGGGCCCTCAGTGAGGCCACGTCTGCATCGTGTGATTCTGGGGTCAGGGGCTCTTTGTTCTGGCGTTGGTAGAACTGGGTTTAGTGGAACCTGGTTTAGTGACCTGTACCGGGGGCGCCCCCCCGTCCCATTTCCACTAACCGGAACTGCCGTCACCCGAAAAAAACACCAGCTATGGCAAACCTGGCTTAGTGATTCTGGCCAATTCGAAGGCTCCTGGGCCCTACCGCTAACAGGGTCCCCTTATCCGGGGTCCTGGCCACACCCGATTTGTTCTCTACTAGACGAGGCCCCCCCGAAGATGCCACAGAAACCTGCTCGGGGCCCCGTCGCCTCCAGGCCTCGTCGGCCCCTGCGCGGGGCGGCATGCCCTCCGGCCTCGCACGCAGCGGCGGGCGCGCGCGCGCCAATGCCTCCACGCCCGGGCGGGCACGCCGCCGGCGAGACTTCTTTTGCAGCTCGGCCTCCCCGGAACTCGCCATCGCTCGGGCGTCCCTCTCCCGTGCACTTTTCTCGGCTTCGTGCGCGTATTTTTTTCCACAGCATGACCCCACATGCTGCTCGATGGTCCCCGCCGAAGACGGAGTGCACACGTCCGAGCGATGCCAAGGGACCGCCAAAAAAGGAGCCCGGGGCGAAAAACTGCCTCCGGGGAGGGGGTCGGGACCTCTGGGGTCTCGCATCAAGCGCATGATATCGCAGGGATGTCTGGGCAAGGGCCAAAAACAAATGACCCGAGACGTACCCACCCCCTTTTCCACGCGAGACGAAAAATTACGAACGTGACATACAAAAGAACACATCGCCAGGTATGCACGATCTGCGGTGCCCCCTCCTCCGCCTTGCCTCCCAGAAGCCAAAGGAAGGGGCGACCATTGCGCAGCTCGCAGAACCCGAAGGAGCCGCGAGGTCCCGTCTGGGTGCGCGCGGCCTTCGACTCCGCTGGACCTCCCCAGAGCCCTCGAAAATTGTGACAATGGCGCAGTTCGCAGCCACCCAGAGAGACGCGAGGTCCCGTCTGGGTGCGCGTGGCCCCCCACTCCGCTGGACAGCAGCGAGGTCCCAGACGGATCTGCGTGGACACCGACTCCGCTGGACCTCCCAGGAGCCCTCGAAAGTGGTGACAGCTGCGCACCTCGCAGCTACCCAGGGAGCATCGAGGGGCAGTCTCGATGCGCGTGGTCCCCGCATCCGCTGGACCTCCCCAGGAGCCCACGAAAGTGGTGACAACTGGCCAGTTCGCAGCCACCCAGGCAGCAGCGAGGTCCCAAATGGATCAGCGTGGCCCTCGACTCCGCTGGCTCTCCCCAGGAGCCCACGAACGTGGTGACGGTTGCGCAGTTCGCAGCCACCCAGGGAGCAGCGAGGTCCCGTCTGGGCGCGTGGCCCCCGAATACGCTGGACTTCTCCAGGAGCCTGCGACAATTGGTGACAGTTGCGAAGTTCGCAGCCGCTCAGGGAACAGCGGGGTCCTGTTTGGGCGCGTGGCCCCCGACTCCGCTGGACCTCCCAGGAACCCACGGAAATGGCGGCAGTTTCGCAATTCGCAGCCACCCATGGGCAGCGGAGGAGGAGGCACTAGGAGGGTAGAGGAGATGGAGAAGGAGTGGATACCACCGTGCTCTATCCAAAACGAGAACCTAACACATGAAGGTTTGGAAAAACCTTCCGTCGTCAGAACGAGGGCGCCGAACGGTCATTCACTGTCCCTGGGTGCGTGGCTGAAGTGGGGGTCCGCGGAACGGATTGTTGTGGCGTTGTTGAATTGTTGTCGTCGTCCTCGCCCGCGGCCCACCCGCGACCCACCCTGTGACCCACCTGCCACCCATCCTGCGACCCACCCTGCGACCCACCCTGCGACCCACCCGCGACCCGCCTGCGGCAGGCTCGTTGTGCAATGCATACAAGTATCGGCGCCTGGCGGCGGGCTTCTACAGAGCTCCGGAGGCTGCCGACGACCTCACATGCGGACGATCTGGCCGCCTGCTCCCTCTTATCCGCAGCTGCGGGGGGCTGTGTAATTTTGCTCACGACACAAGAAGGAGGATGAGGAGGAGGATGAGGAGAAGGAAAGTCAACGAGGGCGAGGAGGAGGAGGAGGAGGAGGAGGAGGAGAAGGACAGGGATGAGAAGGAGGAGGAGGAGGAGGAGGAGGAGGAGGAGGAGGAGGAGGAGGAGGAGGAGGAGTAAGGTCAACGAGGGAGAGGAGGAGGAGGTGGAGGATGACCTCCTCATCCTCCCTTCTCCCCCGTCCTACATATTGTAATGGTGGTTGCGGCCCATGCCAAGAAACACCCTGCTTGCCTCCAGGGTGCCCTGGGTTTGTTGGGTTTCGGTGGTTTTGCTCCGGAAAGCGCGACGTTCCCACACCAGAAATCCATGGACATCCTGGGCTCGCAGGGTCGTGTTTCTTGTGGAAGGTTTCTTGTAGCACGGGGGAGAAGGGAGGATGAGGAGGACAAGGATGAGGAGAAGGAAGGTCAACGAGGGCGAGGAGGAGGAGGAGGAGGAGGAGGAGGAGAAGGAGGAGGAGGAGGAGGAGGAGGAGGGGAGGAGGAGGGGGAGGAGGAGGAGTGAGGAGGAGGAGGAGGAGGAGGAGGAGGAGGAGGAGGAGGAGGAGGAGGAGGAGGAGGAGGAGGAGGAGGATGAGGAGGAGGGGGAGGAGGAGGAGAAGGAGGAGGAGGAGGAGGGAGGAAGGAGAGAGAGGAAGAGGTCAAGAAGGGAGAGAAGGAGGAGGAGGAGAAGGGAGACGGTCAACGCGGGAGAGGAGGAGGAGGAGGAGGAAGAGGAGGAGGAGGAGGAGGAGGAGGAAAAGGAGAAGGAGAAAGGTCAACGAAGGGAGAGGAGGAGGAGGAGAGGAGGAGGAGGAGGAGGAGGAGGAGGAGGAGGAGGAGGAGGAGGAATGGAAGGAGGAGGAGGAGGAGGCGGAGGAGAAGGAGGATAATCAAGGAGGATCCAGGACCCGATCTCGTCGCCCCACCACCTCCACGATGACCAGGCCCTGGTGGCACGCCGTCCCCACGCGCGCCGCCGCCTCCCCGCCAGCCGCCGCTCGCGACCTGCCCTCCGGCACGGGGGAGGACGGCGCATACTTCGCCGCGATGAACCGGTCCTGGAGGAAGGGCAAATTGCGCTACAGTGGAGGCCAATCTCCTCCTCCTCCTCCTCCTTCTCCTCCTCCTTCTCCTCCTCCTCCTCCCCTCCTCCTCTCCTCCTCCTCCTCCTCCTCCTCCTCCTCCTCCTCCTCCTCGCCTCCTCCTCTTTTTTTGGCAGCAACGCCGCGGCCTCTGTTATGAATACAGTATCTGCACGACCAGCCCAGAGGCGCAACTGGTACGGCACTGAACCTGTACCTTATAACAGCGGGATGAATTCGTCGATGTCGACGTAAACACCCTTCTTATCAGGATGCAGGCCTCTACGGAGCTTACGCATGTTCTTCACGCCAGACTCCGTAGGTGGGGCGCACTTACGCCCCAGGCCTAACACAACTCCACCACTGCCATAAAACTTGCACGACATGCACAGAACAGGTTAGAATTATCAGTGCAAGGGAACGCTATCACGCGATGCCCGAGACGCTCCAGAACGCACCTGTCGAGCCTGCTGCGGCCCGCACACTCCGACCCGCCGCTCGGCAAGGATGACGCTCTGGAGCCTCGCAAACACACGCGGCACCTCCAAAAGCTACCTTGGCGTTCCCAATCGTGCTCCAGCACGAGCCGAGGAGGGCGTGGTGGCTTCGGCGGCTGGACTCGCTCTAAGCCACGGAACTCGACTTTGGGCCAAAGCGGGAGCAACGCTGCTCCGCCCAGCAACACAGCCCTAGCAATCTTGAAAGTGCGACTTAAAGCATCGGCCTCCGTTGGCGTCATAGTCGGATGGCGCTTCGCACCTTCCTTAGCCTCGACGTCGGCACACGCATTGCCCAACCTCCGAAAGCGCTCCTCCGCCGACAAACCCTCCTCCTCCAGATCTTTGTGGGCAGCCACTTTGCGGAAGCCCTCGCAAAAGCGACCAACATGGTGGCGAGCTTGCATGACGAAACCAGCATACTCACGGGCTGGGCCACTCGCCTCGGCTCCGCCAAGATTCTGCAACATCACCACATTAGCACAATCTGAGTAACACTGAGCAGGGCCCTCCGTGTACAACGCAGTCCAGGCTAGGGCACCAAATTCGGCTCCCTGGGGGGTCTGAGGCCACGGAGCCCAGAGGGGGCCTCTTATGACCCCAAGCGTCTCCCCCGACTCCGAGACCATAACAACAGACCGCCCCGCCCTAGACAACTCCCTAACCTGATGCCTAGAGCAGGACCCATCCATGAAAATGTGCCCCCAGACGCCGTCCCTGGGAACTAAGGAGGGGGGCGAGCCTGGCCTGGCAGGATCCGGGAGCAGGTCAACATACCAGTCGACAGTGACGCCGTCGGGCGAGATAGCCGGCTTCGGGGCCCAGTCCCCAGGATGTCTGAACGCACCATGAAGCCACAGAGCTTTTCTCTCGGGGTCGCTCTCAGGCACTTCAAGCGCCGCTTCCTGGATCCACTTCGGCATGTACTCGTCCCGCTCGGCCTGCACGCACGGGCGCACCCAGAGGCGGTGAAACAGGGTGTCCTTGGCGCCGCAGCCCAGCGGGCACAAACTGGAGATGGGATAGCCTAAGTCGGCTGCATCGCCTGCAGTCCAGCAGGCATTGGTGGCCAGAGCACGGATCATACCCTTCTGAACCCCAGGAATTTTCTTGGACGCTAAAAGCCTCTTCGGGACGTCCCAACAGAGACGGGCACCAGCCTGGAACTTGCCCCCAGACTCCCGCTCCAGGCTCCGAAAGACAACCTCCTTGCAAAAAAGCTTCACCAGTTTGGGCGGCGACAACGTGAGAGAAATCTCGTGACCAAAATCGTCCACGAGGGTAATACAATTGGGCATGGTTCACCCAAACCTGTACAGCGACATTTGAAGCCCTGAGATAGGTCCCGAAACTTTGGCCCAGGTCCAGTCGTCTTACCGAACTCCACCCAGTCCGAAGCTCGGCCCAGCTCAGGGCCCACTCAAAGGCCCTCGTCTGACCGATCCGCACCTCCTTGGCCCAGCGGATGATAGGGGCGCAGCTGGCCCTCCACGTAGGGTCCCCTTCTAAAAGACACAGAACGGCAAGGGACCTACCCTGGGCAGAGGGTTTAACGCAAGACATGGCCAAACGTCGAAGCGACAGCAGCTCACGGTCAGAGACCCCATACAAGTCCGAACCATACACAGCCCCAGCTAAGGGTCCAGAGGTGAAGATTTTGACCACCTTGCGCCCCAGAGCGGGGCCCAACCTCCCGAGACGGCGAGCTTTCCTGAGGTCCGCTGCCGCCCTCTGCTTAGCCTTGGAACTCCTATTCTTTCCAGGAGCTCCGACCGCTCTGCCAGCCGTGGAATCCACACCTAAGTTGGCCACCCGAGCGCAAGCTGGATCGCCAACTAAGTCCCCGAGCTCAGCCGAGAGCGCAGCAGAAAGGTGCTTGCTGCTGGAGACCATGCCAACCTTGTCCATAGCCAGCTTGCACTTGAGATTCGTCGTGATCGCAGAGTGCAGAGCTCTAGCGCCTGAAACAAGAAGCTTCAAACCACAGCTGGGCTTGCCAGTCGCGCTGAGGCTCAAATCGTCAACGTAAACGTCAAAATCAGGTCCCCTCGGGATGGAGTCGAAAGCCTCTAGGGCGAACGCCCGAAAAAGGCTCGTCGCGAAGGTACAACCCGCGACGATCCCTCTCAGGGCATAGAAGGGGCCGTCGACAATTCCCCCCAGGGTCATGAACCTCGCGCAGGAGTAGGCGTGAATCGCGAGGCGCGCGATTCCCAAAGGAAACTGATGCTGCTTACACTTGGCCTAAAGAAAGCCGAGGTCAATGTGTTCGTAGTATTTACGCAAATCCCAAACAATAGACGCACTGACCTGACCCCTGACCGTCCCCGACTCCGCTCTGAAAGCCTGCCTCCAGACCACGTCCCCCGCGCCACGGTGAGCCCCCGCCGCCCAGTAAGGGCGGCTGTGCTGGATTTCCCAACGAAGAGCTTCGAAACGACGGCACCTGCCCCAGACACGGTACCAGCTCGGAACAATCCCAATGGGTCGAAAGCCCCCGCAGGGCTTGGCCAACAAGGCGACCAGCACCCAAGAGAGCTGGACAGGCAAGGACCCCGTGGCCTCCATGACCGAGAACCACAGAGACAGAGCCATCAGAGCCTCGTCAGGGAGCAGGCTGAAATGACGGCAGTGGAAGCCGTCCAAGCTGACAGCAGAGGCAGGCCGATATTTCTTGGACATGGCCCTGACGATGTCGGGCTCGAGAGGGGGGGGGGGGGGCATGGCAACAACTCCTTACCGCAAAGACCCTCCCCCCAGATAGAAAAAACTTGGCCGATTCAGCCTTGAGCAAGCTCATGGGATCTGACACCGCAATGCCCGAGCGAGAGAGAGTGGTGGTGGGAGCCCAGGCCACAGGGTCCCGAATAGCCCTCTGCGCATTACGCGACCCTTTCTCGAGCCCTTGACGCACCCATTCGTACCAAGCCTTCCGAGAGGACTTGGCCGCGGATGCCTTAGCAGTGACACACGCTTCAGAAACTTCGCAGATGTGCCGATCGAGGTCGGCGGCCACCTCGGGATCGTCCACCGAGCGCAGCAGACTACGCGCTAAGCCAGCGGCAGTGCGAAAAAGAGGCGCATAGTCTGAGTTCTCTGCCACCGCCACCGTCGTCGGCGGCTCCGCGAGCGCCGCCAGCACCTGACGACCTCCATCTAGAAGGCCCTCAGAGCTTAAGTAGCACCTGGGAGCACGAAGTTGGCTGCTCAACCAAAGCACCGACCTGAGGGTAGGATTAGGCTCACGGCCCCCTTCTTCCGGAATGCTCTTCCAATGCATCTGCGGCCGCTTACCCCTGGCCCCCCTAGGAACCATCACCCCCATGATGGCGCTGAGGTCCCGCTCGGCCGAGTTGGCCCACGCACGGTATCCAGGGGCCAGCATAGCACGAGCACGATCACCTTCGCCCTCTTGCACCGCCCGAAAAGCCTCGCGCGCCAGCCCAAGGGGGACCTCCCACGACCCAGGCTCAGGCTGCGGGCCAACCGGTGGCCCCACAGGAAGGTCATGCGGGCGTCGGAAGGCGAGAGCCTTGAGATCACCAACAGACGCGTGGAAACGCAGAGACACAGGTCTATGAGGGTGGATGGGCGAGTCCCCCTGCACATCGATCTGCTTGAGACCGAGGGAGAGGGCGCGCGACACAACGAACAAATCAAAACGTTCGGGGGTGCCGACCCTGGGGAAGTGAGCGTGCCCTTAGGAACTGACAATCACCCCATTAGCCTTAGCATGGAAGCCAGACGCAGCCAAAGCCTCGGGGGGGAAATTCCAGTCAGCCCCAATGATGAAATCGCATTCTAAACCCCCGGTAAATTCCCCCCACTGATTTTAAGATAGACAAGTTGGCCTCTGACAGACCTTCGCTGTGGCGGAGGTAGAGGGAGAAGACGCAGAAGGTGGCGCACCCTGGCACGTGCACCATGGCTGCTATCGCGCGGCCCTCGGCCAGCACGATCTCGTCCTGGTGCTCGAACATGCCGAGCGCGTCACGCACAATGACGCCGACCCCAGAGGAGGTGTCCCCGCCCTCGCCAACTATACCAGGAGCCCAGAGCGACTCCCAACCCAAAAACTTGGTCCCTTTCGCGGCCGTTGCAATATCGTCGTCACCTCGTAGGCGATGCTCCTGCGCGATAACGATATGCGATACACTGCTCGTAAGGTAGTTTTTTTCAGTGTGCCCCAGCAGTTGGCGTTCACGGTGGACACCGGCAGGCCTTCGTCGAGCCCGCAACTCTGTGGCCTGGCTGGACCAGACGTCGCTGGAGGCGCAGGGGCGGGGGCTGACCAGTCCATAGCCCCTCCCCGACTGGAGGCCCTGACCGTACTTGCTCCAGCAAAAAAGATCGGATGGCGGCAAGCGCGCGACACCATGGCTGCGGGACCATCGCTCAACGTCTGATCTGCCAGACCAGGGAGAAGAGGGACGAGGATCAGGGATTTCACGGTCACCTGGGGGCACAGGATGAGGGTCCCAAGGAAAAATTGGAGCAGGAAAAAACTCGGAGACGCCCTGGGACATCGAGTGTAGCTTGCGCGCCAAGCGCAAGCCTGACTTCTGTACTGAGAGCCAACAGAAGAGACTCGGCCTGCCAAAAAGTTGAAAAAAAGAGGACAAGTCACCCGAGCTCGGAGTGCCACAATTTACACCACTAGGCCGCCCCCCCTCAAGCGAGGGGGGGGGAACACCTGACAAATGTTGGTCAACCCGAGCTCGAATGTCAGCGGCTGCAGCAGCAGCGGCAGGCCTCGCAGCAGGCTGAGACGCGGCGCCTGGCTCAGAAGGCGCAGCAGCCTCTCCTCCACCTGCCGCGGCACCGCGACCTGCATCGCCATCGTCCTGAACAGGAAGTCCTTCGCCATCGTCACCTTTACGTCGCTTGCGCTGAAGCCGTGCCTTGTGAGCCAGATGGGCTGCCTTGACCTCCGCGGCCGTAGAGGTGAGCTGCTCGAACAATGACTTGGACAGGTCCTGCACGCCAGACTGCAACTTCTCCAGCCGAGTCTGGTACTCCTTGCGATCTCCATCAGTGACATCGTACTCGCTGCTCTCGAACTCCTCCATAATGTCAAAAACTTGATAATGCTCGTGGGATCGAACTTGCCCTCCATGATGTCCCGCAGCGGGATGGCTGGAGTGCTGCGCGGAGCCAAAGTCTCTCCAGCGCCTGTCGCACCTGCGCCGCTGCTGTCACGAAGCCGTTCGACAGCCGCTTTGTACTCCTTATCGGCCTTGCCGAGCTGGTCCCGCGACTGGCGAACCTGCTCCTCCAGCTCTGCAGTCTCCTGCTTCCACTTGAGCAAGCGAGTGAGCTGTCCCTCGAGCTGCTTCTCCAGGCGACGGACTGCGGCATGCTGCTGTTGAACCTGCTGGTGGACATTGATCTCCGCGGGCTTGCTGGCGGCCTCCAGGCTGGCCGCCACGTCGGTATAGTACTTACCCCTCGTAGCATCCCCCGCCTTGTACGACAGGGAGGCCATCTGCTTAGCTTCATCGACGGACAGCGCAGGAACAAGTCCAGCGGGGAGCGGCGGGGCACCCCCTCCCATCCCTGCGGGCTGCAGCTGGCCTCCTGGGGTTGAACCATGCCACTCGAACCGAGATGCATCATTGAAACCCTTGCCTTTGCCTTTGCCGACGCCTTTACCACCAGGCCCTCCTTTATTCCCAGAGGCAGCGCCAAACCACCCAGGCGGTCTCGACCAGTAGGACTGAGCAAGAGGGCCAGAGCGATCAGGAGTAATTGGAACCTGAGGGAGAGGACCATGACAGTTTTTGCACCACTTCGCCGAGGGAGCGTTCTTGCGACACCCACAACCTGGGCACTTGATAGGCGACTTGAGATTGTTGTACCACTTGCCACCGCCTTTGACCTGCCACTCCCCTTCCCCGTCATCACCCTCAGATGCTTGCACCCACGGTTTATAAGTGAAGCGAGACAAAGAAGGAGCCATCGAGGATGTGGGCAGTGAAAGTGGCGCTTCGATAGCCTGAACGTGATGTGAAAGATGCCTGGCGGGCGAACGCCAGGGAAAGCTGTCGGGGGCCGCGCGATCCCCCTGCCAAATCTCAAATCCTTGAGCAACCGCTACGGACTTGAGCCAAAATGGCTACGGACTCTCCTCCTCCTCCTCCTCCTCCTCCTCCTCCTCGCCCTCGTTGACCTTCCTTCTCCTCCTCCTCCTCCTCTTCCTCCTCCTCCTCATCATCCTCCCTTCTCCCCGGTCCTACAAGAAACCTTCCACAAGAAACGCGACCCTGCGAGCCCAGGATGTCCATGGATTTCTGGTGTGGGAACGTCGCGCTTTCCGGAGCAAAACCACCGAAACCCAACAAACCCAGGGCACCCTGGAGGCAAGCAGGGTGTTTCTTGGGATGGGCGTCAACCACCATTACAATATGTAGGACGGGGGAGAAGGGAGGATGAGGAGGTCATCCTCCACCTCCTCCTCCTCCTCCTCCTCCTCCTCCTCCTCCTCCTCCTCCTCCTCCTCCTCCTCCCTCTCCGACCTATGGTAGTGGTGGTGGCTCAGCAAGGAAGGAAGCGTTGCGCTAGCGAGGGCCCCCACGTACCCATACGACCACCCGTGGGGTGACAAGGAGGTTCGGGGGGAGCAGGAACCAACGCCTCACTCAGTCGATCACCATCGATCTCACCACCGACTTCTCCATACATATCACGATCGATCGCACAATTGGTCTCATAATCGATCTCAGAACCCCTCTCAAGATCGCTATCACTGTCGATCGCACTATCGATCTCACAATCGACCTCGCAATCGAGCTCACCATTGATCTCACTATTGATCTGACTGTCGATCTGACTATCGACCTCACTATCGACTTCCCTACCGATCTCACTATCAATTTCACTATCGCCCTCACTATGATATCACAGTCGATCGCACAACCGATCTCACTATCGATCTCTCGATCTCCCTAGTGACCTCACGGGACACCATTGGACACCACGGGACACCGCGGGTCACCGCGGGACACCACGGGAAGCCACGGGACACCGCGGGACACCATCGGGACACCACGGCGGGACACCGTTGGACACTGCGGGACAGCACGGGACATCACTGGACACCATCACGGGACACCACGGGACATCAGGAGGAAACCGCGACACACCGCGGACACCATGGGACACCACGGCGGGACACCGCGGGACACCACGGGACACCACGGGACACCGCGGGACACCACGGGACACTACGGGACACCACGGGACACCACGGCGGACACCACGGGAAGCCATCGACACACCACCAGGACACCATCGGGACACCAATCGAGACACCATCGGGACACCACGACAGGACCCCCCTGGCAACCGCGGCACGCGGCCGGGGGGGGAGGGGCTTCTGTCCTCCCCGCGACCTGGTCAGAGGAAGGTTCATTCCTCTCGCCCGCCCACGCAGCTTCGCCTCGCCCGTATGCACGACACGAGCCCCAAACCGACACCGATTGCCTGGGGGCTCTCCGTCCCGCTTCGGATCTCACCCTATCCACCTCCGGCTTCTCCTGAGACCCTGGCGTCACAATCTTTTCGAGCAGGGCGTTTTCACCAAGTTTCGGGCGCGGGGACCAACACAGACCGATCCGCCTTAAAAAATGGCGCGCGCAGAAAGATGGGGTCCAATGCTCCGGTGGTGACACTTCGCGATATAAGAGGAACAAGCCAGTCCTGGAAGAAGAACAAAACCCAAACCCCGTCAGATCACGAGCAAATCACGACGGAAGGTTGTCGATATGTTTGGCCTCTGGGGGCCCTCGCCGGCCCCGGGACCGTCAACAGAAACTACTCAGGATGAGAAGCCAGCCCCGGGGAATAGGTCGAGACCTCTGGGGGTCGATGTTCTGCGAACGAATCATGAGGTCGGGGGTCTGGGAACTGCGCAAATTACCGAGGGACCCCACATACGTAAGTGATGGGGAAACAAGGAAGGGTAGCGGTGTGGCAGTGCCTTCCCAGACATGCGACGTCCTGATTTTTTTCAAGACGGCGTCTCTGGAAGTCCCGACACGTTCCCCGGGACGGGTTCTTCGTCCTGAATCGTTTTTTGACGGTCCCGATGCCAGGCGAGGGCCCCCCGAGGCCGAAAAAAATATCCACCAAAAAAAACCTCCCGTCCTGATTTTTGCTTACGACACGATCATATATGGGTTTTCTTCCTCTGATCGTCCCCCCTCCCTCCTTCGGGAGCGGCCAAGAGGGGGGTGTCCAAGAGGGGGGGGTGCAAATCATGACCGGCGGCATGTGCGCGGCCCAGCGGGGGGGGGGCAGGGGCGTAATGAAGTGAGAAGAGGCGCCATGAAATCTGGGGAAATATCATGGCCCACGCCATGATGTCCACCCCCCCTAGTCATCCCCCCCCCCTTTTGCCGCCCCCGACTCCTGCCCGTTTTTTGCTCCCGAGGTCCAGCTGCTCCCGGGGCGCTCCCGGCGCGAGCCGCTGGGCGGCGCCCCGAGAGCACAGCCTCCTGCCGACCTCGGCGTTGCCGCCCCCGGACAAAAACTGCTGCACCTCGTCAGGCTTCCAGGAGTCGAGCCTCGGGGGGCCTCACCTCCTCCTCCCTCCCCCTCCTCCTCCTGCTCCTCCTGCTCCTCCTCCTCCTCCTCCTCCTCCTCCTCCTCCTCCTCCTCCTGCTCCTCCACCCCATCCTCCACCGCCTCCTCCTGCTCCTCCACCGCCTCCTCCACCTCCTCCTGCTCCTCCTCACTTCCTCGCTCCAGTGCTGCGATGCTGCAATCCTCCCCCACACGCAGGCCACTGAGAGCGCTCCGAACCTCAAGAAGTACCCCTGAGGACTCTGACCCAAAACCCTCGCACGGTGGCGGGACGGGCTGAGGAAGGCCCTTCGATAGAATGCCCCCGACAATAACAAAGGGGTCGGGAAATGTGGCGTAAGCCTGTAGAATCCACATCCGGAGGTAGCGTGCCGAGCGGCAGCGTCTTATGGCGAGCGCCTTAACGCAACGTATCCACTGCATCCAATGGTTGCATATTTGTAAAACTGCTGTATTTGTTACATTTTTATATATCATGTATCCCCCGCTAGAGTCCCGCTACATGCGCGTACCAATCTGACGACCCTCATTCTGACATGCAAGAATGTACCACAAAGCATCGAACCTTGGAAAGATCGGCATCTTGGGCCTCCTGGGGGTCCACGGCGACCTCAAGACGGCTCACGATGTTCTAGGGAAGGGCCAAGGCGGCCCCAAGACGGCCCAAGATGACCTTCAGAGGGCCCAAAAGCCTCCAAGACAGGCCCACAATGCCCCAAGGGGGCGCCCCAAGAGCACCCCTCCGCAGCGAAGGAGGAGGAGGAGGAGGAGGAGGAGGAGGAGGAGGAGGAGGAGGAGGAGGAGGAGGAGGAGGAGGAGGAGGAGAGGAGGAGGAGGAGGGAGGAGGAGGAGGAGGAGGAGGAGGAGGAGGAGGAGGAGGAGGAGGGGAGGAGGAGGAGGAGGAGGAGGAGGAGGAGGAGGAGGAGGAGGAAGAGGGGGCGCCCCAAGAGCACCTTCAGAGGCCGAAAACACTGACGCTCCACAGGCTTTTGAAGGATTTTAGCGTTCTCACTCTTCCCGACTCTCGGGGGCCCCTGACGGCCCGAGCAGCATCCAAGATTGCCCCAAGAGGGCCTCTTATATGGTTCAAAGAGCAGCGAAAAAACGATAAGAACCTATATATATATATGTATATATATATATACATACATACATATACATATCTATATATATATATATATATATATATGCATCTGCATATATATATATATATATATATATACATATATGTATATATATATATATATGTATGTATGTATGTGTGTCTATATGTATATATGTATGGGTGTGTGTAAAAGTGTGTATATGCAGATCTGTATATCGTATTTCGGCCTGTTGGGCCTCATAGGAGCCCAAGAGGGTTTCAAGATGGCTCAAGACGGATTCGACACCCGCCAAGACGGCCCCCAAGACGGCCCAAACTTGCCCAAAGAGGGCCCAGGAGGCCTCCCAGACAACTCAAGTGAGCCCCAAGAGGACCCCCGATGGCGCCTCCAGGTGCCATCAATCAATGATGCCCCTAGAGCTTTTTGACTCTCAGAGGCCCAATGACTGCCCAGGCAGCCTCCAGAATGGTTCCAAAACGGCCCAAGAAGTCCCCAAGAAGGCACCCAATACTGCCCAACAGGGCCCCAATACGCTCCAACGAGGTCTCGAAGACTGTCCGAGAGGTCCCCAAGAGAGCTCCAAGGCGGCCGCGAGAGGCCCACAGGACGGCCTGCGAAGAGGCCAAACGGCGCAAGAGCGCCCCAAGACGGCCCACGATGCCCCCCAAATCCCCTCACATACCCTAAAGAAGCCCCCTAAGAGGCCCCAAGAAGCCCC